GTGAACTCTCGCCAGTGGCAAACAATGCGCGGCGTGACGAAGGCATTGTCGAGTTTACGCCCCACAGGGTGCTGCTCTGCGGCCAACATCCCGCTTCTCGGTTCGCTCGCCATTATGGGGAAAGGGGAGGGGAGGGAAGGTTGGAAGATGGGGGCAGAGGGGGGGGGGGGGGTACCCCATCAATTACATGGGAAATTGCGCTCGCATTATTTATGTGCGTATACACCGACACGGGCTGCACTAGGCCACGCCACACTTCTCTGCACCGGGTTATCGATGGCCCGACAAAGAGGACATAAATAACGCCTTTTGCACCGATACAACCGCGATTCTAAGTATAGGTCGCTCCGTTGGACGCGTGTGCGCCTATTCCAATCTATGTAAGTACGTGTAACGTGCCATCAAATCCTAGCATGCGCGCGCCGATTCGATTCCCGTATTTATTTCCCGTTTCCAATTTTTTTGATCCTTATCGATTTATCATTTCGATCTCCCTCTGATATTCTCTGAAATTTAATTTGACGAATGAGATTATTCTAGTAATTGGCCCAGAAAAAGATATTTCTCGATACGATATTTACAGGTATGCAAAATCGAAGACAAAGTAGAGAAGAAAGTAGAAGAGAAGTAGAGATCGTGATGAAGGTATATATATATATAGGGGAGAAAGGAAGAAAGGAATAGAGAGAGAGAGAGAGAGAAGGAAAGAAGATGGATATACGGAGGTGGCGAACGAAGCGACAGCTGTCGATTTTCCTCCACAGACCTTGCGCAGAATGCGCGAGCAAAGTTGTAACGGGCTAGTCATAAATAACGCGCTCGTTTCTCGACCACGGAACGGAGAGGGGAGGGGAGAGGGGAGAGGAAAAAAAGGATCGAGGAATAGGAAGAGAGAGAGAGAGAGAGAGAAAGAGAGAAAATATACGGAGACATCGTGCACGGGATAGGTTCGTGCTCGTCGAGGACGTGGCGGGATTAGTTCATTAGCTGTACGTTATACTAATCGCGTTTACGTTTTGGCTGATCGATGCGCGGCGAACGGTGGGTGATTATCCGCTCTCCGACTAGTTTCCTAGCGGAGACACGTGAGAAATCACGACGAAACTTTGGCCGAGGAAGAGGAAAAAAGAAAAAAGAAAGAAAGAAAGAAATAAAGAACGAAAGAAAAAAGGCGATGAAGAAGAAGCTCGTTTTATAGCTCGTATATATTCGAAAAGAAAGAGGGAACGAACGTGTGGTTTATCTTTGCGGAGGAGTGCGGTGTATCGGTGTAGCGAGCAGTTTCCACGGAAGGGCATTAGCGGCGTTATTAGCGCTGGTTAGAGGATACGTGGTTTGGCGGAGAGTAATAATTATCCGTGCCTTCTTCCTATCCTTCTGTCTACGCGGACGACCAACAATCGCCCGACAACAAACTCACGGGGACTTTTTTCTTTCGCGATTTACAATCGCGTGGAACGTGGAAATTGCGGAACGAGGATAATAATTTTTTTTCTACCGGATTCGGTCGGTAATGGATGAAACGGGTGGGTTATTTTATCGGTGGGGTATGTCATCGAGATTATAAAAATCGATCGGGAAATCAGGTTTGAAACGACAGATCAAATTAACTCACCTAATAACGCGCAATTTCGTGATCGATACGAATTATGTAAATCAACTTGTCTGCATTGCACATGTACGTGCGGGTACAATCGGTATAATTCTGTGAATAGTAATGAAGGGAAGTAACACTCGAATTTCCATGAAACAATTGATATGCATTTCGATGCAGCACGGAACCCATCCACGTCCGTGAACATATACCAGTTCTATTACCACCTCAATCTATTTCAGCCAAATTCATTAATCGCTACAATATGCATTCGACCTGGTGCGTTACGTATGCATTTAAAACGTATTTGCGTTAAATTTATTCGAAACCAATCTTCTATATAATACATACATATATATGTACGTACGTTAATAATATTTTAAAAAGTTATCGCTCTTTTCTTTCTTTCTCTATCATCCCTCGAATAAAAAAATATATATCGCAAGATCGAATTTTTATTTTACGCGTAAAGGAGCGAGGATTGAATAGAGAGAATAGATATTTAACACGCGCAATATATATTCGCACGCGTTTTACAATGGTTTTTCTTTCTTTCTTTTTTTTTTTTTTTTTTTTCCCCCGATGTGACGAAATAAAGATAAGAAGGAAGGAAAGTTTATTCTTGTTACGTACATATGATATATCGTATTATTTCATAATTTTCGCGTTTCGAAACTGTACTTGCGTGCAATATTTTATGCAAGTAGTGTAACGTTCGAGATTTTGAAACATTTATACTTTCACCGCAAATAGCGTGGTAATCGTTCGGGGACGTGACAGCGTTCGGGATAAGATCGTTGTAAAAGAAAATTATTTTTTATAGCTGTCGTAAAGCTGTAAATTCGGTGCTTTAATAGAATTGCCAAGGGTCGAGCTTATAAGTTGTATTACTTAATTACCCGGCTCGGTATTCATCTTTCAATCGGAAACGTTCGCTTAATTCCATTGAACGCTACTATTGACATTTATTACTGTGGCTTACAAATGAAAAGTCTTTTCAAGACTTATGCCTATGTCGTTTTACGACACCGATATTTCGTCTTTTTTCTTGAAAAAATATATATATATATATGTATATATAAATATCTATCATCTACATACATATATAAATATATATATTCTCATAAATATAAAGAGGGGAACAAAAGGTTCGACTTGTAGTCGTATTTTCCCACTATTTATTTTCCGTCCATTATCCAAGAACACTTAAAGTCTTAAACCTTCAAAATTAAATATATTCGTGAAAGGAAACATCTCGTATTGAAATAGAATTTAGAATTTTTAATTTCGAGTCGTAAAACTCGTAATTTTAGATTATAGATTTGCTTATGACTCTTGGGTATAAAGTTTTATGCGTAAGTAAGTAGATACTTGAAAACGATCATAAATCTAAACGAATTGTTTACCCGATGTAATTAAATGAATGGAATAAAATCGTGGCAATAAATCACACGGTGGAATCTAGTTATCATTGCCAACGAATGCTTTGGTGTACGTGTGTATCCTTATGTAAATAAAAATTATTAATGCAACGTAATAAATTTTATTTCGAGAAATCCAAACTGTACGTAACTGCAGAAAAAATTATTGTATTAATTTTTTAACATCGCTCGTCCATAACTCGTCCATCTTTCGATATTTCGCGCTTCCATTATTCCATCTTTCCTCTTTATCTCGCGTTACAGAAAAATAAACGCGATTGCAAACCGTAATTTTACCGTTATTCGGAATTCGATTTGAAACGGACATACGAACAATTTTAAATATTTATCCATTTACTCGTAAATTTTCGAAGAAGAAACAACTTTTACAATTCTCTCAACTTTTATTTGTTTCGAACGAGAACTTTCTCGAAACTAAAATTTATTGAAAATTTGTCCAAAATATATAACGGGGTATATATCATGGTACACAAATATATCATCGTCACTACTTAAAATTACACTAATATTTTCTTTATTTGTATGTCAAACACGAAAAAGCAAAAGAAAGTATGGCAATAAATATTTACGAAGAGCATCACGTTTTAATTTCCAATATTTTATAGTATCAGCAGCAGCAAAGGGCAGAGATTTTAGTTACCTGCTTAGTTAGTTTCCCTTAGTTTCTTACTTGAAACTTTAATAAAACCATAAAGAGAGAGAGAGAGAGAGAGAGGAGATTAGCAAATTATTATTCTCTGGTATACACTACTACTCTGCAAGTTTAAAGACCTGTTCAAACTTGAAATACCAAGAGAACAATCGTAACATGTCGGATTAACACTGTTAATTTATCAACCGTATCGTAAAGCTTTATACGTATATATATATATACATATATATTATAACTTATAATTTCGAAAAATATTATATTAACGAGAAAGAGACGGAGTAGGGAAAAATTATTTATAAATAATTTCGTAGAGGAATATATAGGTATTTTTTGATAGAAATATTTATAAGTCGTTTTTGGTGGTGGCATCTTGTTCTCGATCGAACGAATGAAAAAAATGTGGACGCGGTGTGTAAGAGGTGTATAAAGGATCGAGATTGGCGAGAAAAGGAAGAGGGTAGAAAGAAGAGGAGGGAAGAATGGAGGAGAGGGCGGGGTAGGTGGAAGTGGTTGTCGTGGGGGGCACCTTGCACGAGTTGACACGTCGTTGGTCGGGTCGGTTGCACCCGGCAAAAGTGTCGGCAAAGCGCGAACCGACAACGACCACCGTGTCGCGAACGCTACCGCCACCATCGCCACCATCGCCACACCACCGCTATCTCCACGTCACCTTCCTTCTCTTTCCTTCGCATCGGTTGCTCGCCTTCTTCTTCCTATTCGCTCTGTCCTTGTCGTATACCTCTCGATACCTCTCGCTAGGGGAGTGGGGAATCCTTCGACACTAGTAGCGATGGCTCCGAGTTCGAAACGCGTGGAAAACAAATATTCGAAATTTCGAGTCTAAAGTATACGCGAGAAGAAAGAGAAATTAGATTATTTGGATAGAGTCGTAAAAAAAAGAAAAAAAAAACGGGCGCGTATTTGTGATCGGTGGACGCAAAAGGAAAAGGAAACGTGAAACGCGAGACGATGGATTTGGATAACGTTGAATCGAAATGTCCATTCGATACGAATATCAATGAAAAAAAGAATTGTTTTTGCTTTCTTTTTTTATTTTATTTATTTATTTTTTTTTTTTTTTTTTTTTCCCTCCCACGAGAGTGTATCACTTTCATCGCTAGAAAATCCGAAATGGTGGATGGTGGGAGAAACTAGGATGTACCGACAGAGCGGCGAAGGGGTAAGCTTTCCCGGGGGAGCATAGTGTGGCGGGGTAAGTCAGCTGAACGGTCATCGATAGAGTGTGTTGGCGGCGTGGTGGGGGGAGGGGGGGAAGCAGGGAAGCTCGGTCGAGGGAACAGTAAGCGATGCGACTCAGTCGCGATTCGAAGCCGGTCGTGGTAACCGAATGCGTCGTGTATCGTGTCGCGCGAGCACACGGTATCCTCTTTATTTCGTTTTTTTCGTTTTCATATATTTTTCTGTGCTCCGTTGTGTTCCCTCTCGTATGTTGAACGGAACGGTGGTGTTCACGCTGGAATATTTTTTAAAATCGAGATGGCTTCGTTTACGTGTACTTTCCTCGTTTCACCTTGACGAATACAACAAGAAAGAGAACGTGTTTTTTTCGAGCCTTTGCTCGTTTCCCCTCCGCTCCTTTGTGTTCCACCGTCGCTAGTGATCACAGTGTTATTTACTCGTTCCAAAGGGAATATATATATATATATATATACATAAATATATATATAATTCGTGGACAAGAAGAAGGCGAACATTCTCTCCTTCGAAGATGCTGACTTCTAGCGCGAATCAGTACCTCCGTCCGGAATATCTTACGCCTTTACCTACTACGGTTAGTGTCGTATTTTCTAATTTCCGTTTTTTTTCTCCATTTTTTTCTCCCGATACGAATATTGTATAATTGTTACGGTTATCGTATCGTATAAAGAATATGTAAATAATAATAATAATAATAATAATCTAGTTGCACGCGTGTTTAATACGCGTCTTCGGAATTTCGTTTCAAATCAGTGATTGATATGATATGATATGATAAATGCTCGATCAAGGTAAAGTTTAATTTGGGAGAAAAGAGAGAAAAGAAGGAAAGAAAAAAAATAAATCGCGTAAACGATTATAAAATAAAAGATCGAAAATGGGAATATCGCGACTCGAGGCGTGAAATTCGTATTACGATCGAGTCGACGTAAAATGAACACGACGAAGAAGGATAGTTTCGACGGTTCGTTAATTCTAGTTGTCGACTTCTCGTTAATCGCGACGGGAATGCATTTCACGTCTTATGCTTTAACTCCTGTAAACTATTTTGAGGACAGCGAGTGCTGGCAAAGTTTCTGCTTCAACGTTCACTGATTTACGAGCGCCATAAATCAAAACACGATTCGGTAATACAATGCTCGGAGGATCGAGAGGGAAAGAGATAGACGGAGAGCGTGTTCGCGTTAAAAAATGAACGAAACATTTTGCTCGTCCGTTGTTTCTTCCTACCTTTTTCTTTTTTTCTTTCTTTTTTTTTTTTTTTTACACGCGTTATAAGTGAGCATTCTGCGTGGTGAATACGCATTTAACGATAATAATAAGCCTCAAACCTTTTTCCTTTTCTTTTATTTTATTCCGTTTTTCTCTTTCATTTTTCCCTCGATCGACTATCTTTTCCTTCATTCCCTTCTACATTCCCTTCACATTTCTTCAAAATGTGACGATGAAACTCGATTAAAATAACGATCAACTCTCAATGAAACGATTTTCCAAAGAAACGATTCGTTATAGATATTACCGTGCATTCCCTCGAGTGCATGGGCAAAGAGCATGCGTATTATGTTTCAATTGGTATCACGAGTAAAAAGCAACAAGTAATTGGCAGTACCCGATGCTATCCGGTTAAGCGGTCTCGCGAATCGGGACTTGCAATTATTTAATCGGAGCACGGTATTCCATTTCTATGAAATTTTACGCGACAATGGACGATAGTTTTGACGTTTGGAAGATGAAAAATTTATTCGAACGGATGAAATTAACATGTACGTATTCGAATGCTATGGAAAATAAGAAATAATTTATTTCTCGACTTTTATTTTATCGTCCTATATCTCGTCCAACGTCTCGTCAACTCGGTTGACTAGCGCCCGTGTAAAAAAACTTTCAACGCGGCCAAGAGTTAATTTTAAACGTGGTAATTTTCGACGATTACCCCATTATCCGTCGTCCACGTAAAATTCGAGTCGCGTATCGCGATTTAAAAATGGAAAACAAAATTGGAAATAACGATCGTTTAAAAGATTGAAAGAGAGAGAGAGAGAGAGAGAGAGAGAGGACGCGTTATATCCACCATTCTCTACTATTCGACGGTTGTACGGGGGATTAAAAGGGAAATTTCGAACGATGAATCCATAAATTAAGGTTAACGATAAAAATACGATATCGCGATCGAGCGTTGGCGCGTTCCGTTAAGTTGTCCGAGGGAGCGATTAACATACAGCTCCGGACCCGTAATGCCGTAATAGCCTGTTGCAATTCGTGGCATTAATATCTGTCGGCGTCGAGCCATTAGCAAAAGCAACCGTAAACCGGCGGGTTAGCTGCACGAACGTTGCGTTTTAATTACGGCGAACATCTGTTCGATCGACCGCGTATCAAACCGCGAGAAATATCGTTCCTCTATACGCTAATTACACCGACTGCATCATCTCTAGCCACTTGGAAGGGAAACGCTCGCTCGACACCGATATTCAATTCTCGCTCACTCCTCTCCAACGCCGATCGTTCTTCTCCGCGTCGCCAACCACTTATTAATTGGCTACCTCCGCGCCCGTAAACAGCCATTTTAATTCACCGCTCTCTTTTAACAACTTGATCGCGGCAAACGTAGCGCGCTACGTTACCATGCCACCTATTTATAACCGATCGTACCAGCTTTTATTCGTCGAAATTCGATGGAAAATCGTTTCCAACCCTTTAAATTAAAAATTAAAAATTCGAAAGCAAATTCCACCACAATTTTCTTATTCTCTATTTATCCTTAAAATAAAGAACATTAACAAATGTTGAAAAAGAAAACGCATAAAAATAATAGTTTTATAGCAAAACAAGACTAAGGTAATTCTACTGTCGAATTAACTTGAAAAGGATCAAGAAAATATTGAAAAATAAATTTACGTCCAACGAGTATATTCGTAGAAAAAAGTGCAGATCTCTCTTAATGAATTATACGAGTAGAAGCATGTTAAACATTTTTTACCTAGGAAAATGTAGGCGTTTCTCGATATCTAATCACGAGACGTGATGGAGCGTGGAACGATCTGTTTATCGACACGTGTCGTTTTTCGTTTGCAGCTGGACGCGAAGAAGAGCCCGCTCGCGCTCCTGGCTCAGACTTGCAGTCAAATAGGAGCGGACACGCCGTCCAACAAATCTTTGCTGGGCTCGTTGGACAAAGGTTCGACGAGCAGCAACAACAACAACAACAACAACAACAAGTCGTGCAAGTCGACGGATCAATCGCGCGAGAAATCGTCGCCGGGGATCGTGGCCTCGTCCTCCTCCTCCTCGGCCGAGTCGAGCAAGGCGGCCAACTTCAAACCGTACGAGTCGTGTTTGTCGAGCGGCGTGGAAAAAGCATCGAGCCCGGACAACGAGCAACAACGATCTGCCTCCACTCATTCGATATCCGGCCGTTCGAGGACACCCGGGAGCACGAATAAACGGTGCTCGAGCAACCAGAGCGGGTGTTCCTCGGTACGGGCGATCACTCCTCACCAACAGGGGAGGAAGACGGCGACTCCGAACGGTGACGGGGCACGAGAATCGCCCGCCTCGAGGAATCAACTCGTCGTCGACTCCTCCTCCTCCTCCTCCTCCTCCTCCTCCTCCTCCACGTGCTCTTCCTCCTCTTCGCAGCCAGCGGTGGTCGGCAGCCCGTCGTTGCAGGCGAAGCCGTCTTCCTACAGCCCTGCAGGTGTTCTCGCGATCACCGATCCATCCATCAAGGACCTTCCACTGGGGACGTTCAAACCGGGCGTGAGCCTGTCCTGCTCGTCCGCTTACCTGGGCTTCAGCCCCCAATTACCGATCGACGCGACGGCCAGCTCGTTGATATCTCACCAACACGCCGCGTTGAAGAACGGTTTGGTGGGGAACCCGTATCTGAGCTACGCGAGGCTGAAGAGCTCGGGATCGGGGGCCGATACAACCGCGCTGATGCCCGTTTGCAGGGATCCCTATTGCACCGGTTGCCAGTTGAACTCTCATTTGCTCGCGAGTTCGGCGAGTTTGGCCGGCGGCGGGAAATTGGGGGGCGCCGCCGGTTCTTCCTGCCCCGGTGGATGCGCGCAGTGCGATCACAAAGGGAACAGTGGTGGTGGTGGTGGTGGTGGTGGTGGTGGTGGTGGTGGTGGAGGTGGTGGTGGAGGTGGTGGTGGCAGTGGTGCGACGACAACGGGTTACGGAGCGTTGGGTGTCGCGGCGTACGCTCACGCGCAACTTGCCGCCCTGGCGGCTGTCTCTCAACTCCCTTACGTGTGCAACTGGATAGCCGGGGACACGGCGTATTGCGGGAAAAGGTTCTCCACGTCTGACGAGTTGCTGCAGCATTTGAGGAGTCACACGAACGTGACGGGAGGAACGGGCGCCGATCCCTCGGGGGCGGCCCTCTCCCTGCTCTCGCCCCCGGTCGGCCTGCCGGCCGCGCATCCCCTGTTCCCCAGGACTTACCCGACGCCACCTCTGAGCCCGCTCGCGACCGCCCGCTACCACCCGTACGGGAAACCGTCGCCGCTCTTGGCCCCGTCTCTGTCGTCCTTGGCTCTGCCCCTCCCCCCGCCGCACCCCCACGCGGCCCCGGCCTTGCCACCCTACTTCTCCCCGTACCCCTTGTACGCCGGCCCGCCGAGGCTCGGCGCCGCTTCCGGCTTGCCTCAATGAGTTCACGGCCGAACCGCGGATATCGATCGTCTCGTCGACTGTGATCCACGCGCGGATATTTGAACTCTCTACCTTGCCGTCGCATCGTCGTCCTTCTTCAGCGCAAGGGACGATGTAACGCCCTCCCTTTCCTTCGATCCTCTCGAGTTCTTCCCCGCGACGTAATTTTCGCGTCGTTGAGATGGAAACGGCGCGTGTGTGGGTTGGATTGAGGAGTTGGCGAGAGGATTATTCGATTGTACGCGTGTTACGCGCGCTTTTAACTGTGATTCTGGGCGCGAGAATAATAGGGGAGCGCGTGCGACGAAGGCGGATCCGAAAATAACGCGCGCCTGTTGAGGCGAACAGCGGCTGCTTTAAGCACGGCCGCTGCGTGATTATTAAATCTCGTCGACTTGTCCCTCCATAGGAGGGGAGGGGGTCTTCTTTTACCACCTTCCTTTCTCGATCGCTTGGATATCTTCAGCATCACGTTCGCTCACCACCGTGATCCTACGTGTTTTGTTTACATCGACACGTTTTCTCGACATCGTCCGATATATATATATATATATCATTTTCCAATTCTCCCTCCGCGTTGTCGATGAACGTTTCCGGTAGAACGGTAATCTCCGATTAAAAAAATTATTTCCGCCGCGCACGAAACGAGACGAAACGAGACGAAAGACACGTTTAAGCTTAATTTCGACGAGTAAGAAAGAGAGAAAGAAAGAAAGAATACCACGAGTGTAACGTGGAAAAAAGAAAAAAAAAAAAAAAAAGGAGTAAAAAAAAAAAAAAAAAAAGGAGTAAAAATAAAAACCAATGTTCAACTGTGATTTTCGAGTGAGAAAGCACGTGCATGAGTGAGATATACTGCGCTTCCGCTACAGTTACGCGTGTACGCGTGATCCTAGAATTTATTTGTATACGATAGCGATGCGATCGTGGATCGTTCGATTCGACGGACTAATTATTTTTAATATCGAACGCCTCTCCCCTAACCTCCTTCCTCTTCCCTCTCCTGTCCTTAAGTATTTCTTAATTTCATTTGATGACAACCGATTCGGACGATTTGGAACGTGAAACGATTTGGAAATATAAACGTTCGAGATACTGAGAAATAGTACAAAGTGTAAAGATAAACATTCTACGATAATATCTGTACGATCTATATAAGGTAACATAATTCCGATCGTAAATTTGCAGCCGACGTTTTTTTGCCCGTCGTTACGCGTTCCAAGCCCGAAAAGCGAAGATAACGCGCGTACAGTGTAGATGGTGAAACGACAGACGCCGTAAATTCTGGTCGATCGCGGTCTACCAATCGTACCAATCGTTCTCGTACCGTTTGTCGCGGAACGCTCGAGTCTATGTGTTTATAGTATTTACGAATTTAATATAATAATATTCATCGCTAAACATTTATTGTAACTATTGTACATTTGTTCATAGAGATACGTTCATAGAGGATGAAATTTAATAAAAAGGAAAAAAGGAAAAAAAGAAAACGAGAGAAAGAAGGAAAGGGACGTAGGAAAGGAACGCGTAAATAAATAAATAAAATTGCGAAGCTTCTCGCGAAGCATGGGCGCACGCGAATCGAGTGAAACGGGATCCTTGATTGACTAGTTGAGATATATCGCGTCTATATATTTTTAACCAAAGTTTTAGCGACCGATCCGATGATTAAGTAGCGTTACGAATAATAAACGATGTGTAATAACGATCGATATTGTATATCATCGAAGAGAAAACGAATCGCTCGAGATATTTAGTTGTAAATAGATTTATTTTGTTCTACGTCTTGTACGCGTATATACGTGTGTATACATATATGCATATTTGTGTACGCGCATATGTATCCTGTATATGTGTATATACGTGTGTATATATGGTAATTGCCACTGTATTACGATTATTATTATTATTATTAATATTATTATTATTCTCTACGATAAAAGGAAAAATTCATGTTTTTTCGATCTGAAGAGAACGACGTGTATGCAAGGCGAATTCGTTTGACTCAATAATTGATTTGTACTTGGAATCGATATTTTCTACTCATTTTTCTCGAAACCCGAAGCCTAAACGTTCAACTTGTTGATTTTATCATTGTTATTCCAATACGTTACGTAATCCTGTTCGGTATCCTATTGAAATGAAATATATCGCAACTTATTTCTCAACGAGGAACGATACGTGCATTTTTTTTTTTTCCACCTCCCCTCCTTTTAATCGATCTAAATGGGCAAGGGAAGAGGGAGAGAGGAAGGGAATAACGAAGAAATTTGAGAAAAGGAAAGGGAAGAAAAAAGGAACGAACTCGCGTACTATTTTGAAAGTAAGCAAGAGGATATTCCGAGAATGAGTCGTAAAGAGACGGAACGAGCGATGGTTGGTAATTTTACGGTCGAATGAGAAAGCGCTTTCTCGCTCGAGGAAGAGGAGGGAAGAAAAAAACGGAGAGCGACGCAGGAGTACGTTGCGTCGGGTCCCAGGGTGATCTCGATTGCCCTTTGAGTGATTTATGGACAGACTACTTCTTCTTCGTCTATTCTCCTCGTTTCAAAACGATAACGTATTGTGGCGAACGATCAGACTCGTTACACGTGAACTTTTAAAACTACGCGCTATCCCTGTTCGGATCTGATCCTTGTGGTTTTCTCTCCTCTCGAAGTTTTGAAAAAAAAAAACCTCATTTTCGTTCTTTTTAGAAGCTTTAGAAAAAGAAAAGAAAAGAAGCCTATCTTTAGGAGCCTATCGAGTTGCTTCCTATCCTGTCAGTTTGCGTCTAGTAACGGCGAGGCGCGACAAGAAAGAGGGTCTGGAAGCGAGGCGAGTGGCTTGTCGAGAGTTTCCTTCCGGCGATGTGGTGTGTCACGGAAGGCATGGACGTCGGCGAAAGAGACTCGCCGAAGGGTGCTTCGAACGAATTACGACGAATAGTTGGCGCCAGAAAAATGACCGACCTTCGACCGAAGAAACCCGCGTCTCCTCCTTTTCCTCCGTTTCCCCCGAGTCGAACTCTTTTTAAAATTTCGAAACGATGATCGAGCAACAAAATCGGACAAAGAAATTTCTCTTCTTTTTTTTTTTTTTCTTGTCGGCCGAAAATCGGGTCGAAAATTTTGGAAACGAGTTTCGATTTCGCAATCGAAATAGCAGTAAGCGAGTAGAATTTTTTTCCTCCGGGCGAAAGCGGTGTATTATCCGCGTAATTGCGCAGCTGCTTCGAAACTGTTGGCCTTCGAGAGCCGACCGACATCTCTCCCTGGTTAACCGGTCGGCGACAAGAAGAAAGGTGGTGGTCGTTGAAAAAGAAGATTAATCGGTGTCTTTTAAAGGGCCGCTGTCGTCCCAGCACGACCACAATAGCTCGTTCGTGCCGCGAGATATTACAACGATCATCCGACTATAGAATGTTGACCAAGTTGGCGCAACATTCGCCGCGCCATCTCGAACCGTTTTCCACGATTAATTTAGTCGTACGGTATACTCGATGACGAGACGAGACGAGTCGAGTCGAGTCGAGTCGAGTCGAGTCTAGCGGCTATCGTTAGTACTTAATAGAGGCAATTGCGTTTATCGCTAGTTTTGCGTTTAGTTTGTTCGATAAAGTAATTACTGTCAACAGACTCGAGAACGCGAAGAAAAATAGTAGAAGCGAGGAAATCGTGAATACTCGAATAAATTATGAAAACTTGGCTAGGAGCGAGGTTAGTTGTCGGAATATATATATATATATTCTCGTCCAACAAACGAACAAGTTTATCGACTATGTCGTACTGTTCACTGGTGGAAACAAGTCTCGGCGGAAAGAATGCAGATCCGATTGGTTAATTTGGAAGAAAACGCCTATTTTTCACGCGCATATTTTTGTTCATGGTATTTGTCGCTAATCCAAAACGTACGCTAATTACAATTCGTGACAGTTTAATTTATAAATTTTGTATTGGAGTAATTAAGATAATACTAATGTACGTGTAGATAGTTTCGAAAATATTTCCAATATTGGATGACTATCCTAACGTAAATGAAAATAACTTTTATGATTTTGAATATTCGAATTATAGATCTCCTACTACAATATAGCGTGTGGTGTCAATAAAGTGAAGTCGTCTATGAAGTGAAGTAGGCGGTTCTAGCAAAGGACCCTTCTTGCCCCTCTACCGTCCCGCGGGACTTCTTTCCACCGTACCAGCGAACAGTAGTACGCGTGTACCGAAGGAACGCAGCTTACGCGCAACCGTACCAACGATAAATTAACGAATTCGAACGTTTCGCTTTCGATAATTCGATAAACGTTTTAAAGAGATCGCGAGAAGAGAAAAAAAAGAAAACGAACGATGCGCGATTAGGAATGAGCGTGGGATGCATAAGGATAGAACATTGGGTATTCGAGTGAGAGAGAGTGGGAGGGGAGAAGAGAGGGCTTGTAACGGACACGGAAGGATATCTGGACGGAAAGGAAGGGATGTCAGAGAGGTTTCTCGCAATTAGTCAAGTTTTCCCGGTGCGCGAGTGGCCGTGTCCAACACCGTGCCAGCTTATTTATGGCCTCCGGGATACGTGTAAACGCGAAGTAGACGCAGAAGAGGGGAAGAAGCCCGTACATCCTTATTTCCAAATATTCCCTTCTCTGAATCTCTGCCCCCCACTCCGATTCCGATTTTTCTTCTTTCACGCGCGGTAATCGATTGTACATGGTCACGAATCGTAATCGCGAGATGCGTTCACACAGGGTGAAATAAATTGTGTTGTGCACACAACGGAAATACTTTGGCGCAAACGAGCGTGAACGAGTCGAACGAAGGAGGAATTGATTCGAGCGGATTAGTGTACAGCGACACAGCCGAAGGGAAAGGAAACCGATACGGCATACGGTGATATCGCGAGATCGAGTTCGAAACGGTTCTTCGCCCCGGGGTAGCTATAACTAGGTTTTTAATTTCTTTGTTCCCCTCGGGTGTACAACACACAGGGCGTGCACACGCTCGGCAAATTTCCAACCAAAGAATCGTACGAATCACGGACGAATTATTTTCAATGCTCCTTCGAAAAAAGAGATTTCGATTCTCGTGAAACTTGTTTGACACGCGATCGCGTCGTCCCCGGAAAATACCATAATTCGTTTCAACTTGTTCGCTTTCGATACCGAAACGGTTTAAATCGTCGCGTCGTCCCGTCTCGCGTTCATGCGTATACACCCTTATTATTTATACATATATCTTTTAACTCGATCGGTTGGTAAATTGACGGTGGAGGAAGAGGAGTGGAGAACGGAATGGAACCGATTATGCGTGATTTATTTAAATTTCTTCGCGTCGATGTAAAGTAGATTGGCAGGGAGGGAAAGGGGGGGGAAAGGGGGGGGAATGATCGCGGCAGGACGAATAATTTATTGCAACAGCGTTATAATTCTATAATCTGGGGATAATGGAGGTCATTAACGTAATGCTTGTCTTCGAGCCGGATGATCACACTGCCCTGAAATCTGTGATCATTTCCGACAAACCCTCGGTATCCTTCGACGCTGCATGATTGCACGTTTATGCGATTCCTGTTATTTTCAATCATTATTTTCACCGGATCCTCCCCTCCCCCCCTTCCTCCCTCTCCCCTTTCCCCTCCTCTGCCCCCTCCCCCATAGACCCTCGCCATCCTTCTATCACCAGGTAATTGTTATAATGAACAGGGAAATGATAGGTTTAAGCCCCGGCTTGCCTCGCGTTTTGTTTGAAAAACCTGCGCGCACAATGCGATCGATCTTTACGACGATTCACCCAATTTACTTTACCTTTACAAATACATCCTTCTCTCTCTCTCTCTCTCTCTCTCTCTCTCTCTCTCTCTCTCTCTCTCTCTCTCCTCCCGTTTCCCCCTCTTTCCATAAATTCTCTCTTTTACAAATTTATAACGCTTTTAATTACGCTCCTTTTATTTTATTTTTTTTTTTTTTTAAACACAATTCTCGAAAAATTCTGGTTATTCATTCCGATAAATATGCCCATAAATTTGTAATTCAATCGTGTGTTTCGTGAAAGTTGGTAGATCGATCTTTCGTTGTAATAATAATTATCATTTTTTTTCCCCCCCTCCTGTTTGCTCGACACAGGAAGGGAGGAGGGAGGAGGGAAGAGGGGAGAGGGAATATTTCGAAATGCTTTTAACGAGTCACGAAACGGACATAATTAAGCACTTGCCAAACATAATGCGGATAATTATTGGATAATTATTGGGGCACGTAAAGGGGAAGAATGCGTCGAAGTTAGCCAAAGTGATTCTTCAATGATCGATTCAGGGATCGATAGAGGATTCGTTTGCCGATACGTACGTTCACGTACGAAATATGGATTCTTGAAAATCTCGTGGAAATTCGTCCAAAAAGATCGATTCAGAAGATTTATACGTGTTATAAATTCGTTAATTATCTATTCATTATCTAAGTAATTTCCTTGAATAATAAAGTGGCGAAGAATTGTATTTGTTCTTTTCTTTTTTTTTTTTCCTCTCTTTTTTTTGTATTTTGTATCTTGTATTTTAAGAGACGAACAAAGCAGTTCAGTTCTGAAACGTAGAGCGTTTAATAATATCTTATCTCTCGTTATAAAAAAAGGAAGTAGATCTTTTTATGAGGGCACATTAAGAATATCGCCGAGCGATGTATATACTTGCGAGAGAAACCCGTGTATCGATATCTCGGGTGACGTTAAAAGAAATCATTACTAAAAGCATAATTAACAAAGCTGAAAATTACGTTCTCGCTAATGTAACTATGTAACCTTATCGATAAGATATCACGATATCTTTTTTTTTAAAAAAAAAAAAAAAAGCCATTATTCAATAGTCATATATATATTTGTAAATCGATTACAATAAAATAATTCTTCTTGGTTTTTCTTTTGATTTTTTTTTTCTCCAAATTCGTTCCTCGCGAACAAAATGAAAAATAAAAATAAAAGAAAATAGTAATAGGTGCCATGTTTCCAACTAAATTCGGGGCGTAAGCTAAGCTCGCGATAAAAGCTACTTTAAATAAACCGTTCTACGTATGATAATCGCGTAGATGGGTATACCGATACACACACACACATATATATATATATAGAGCTGAGGGGGATAACGCGGTAACGTGGAACATATTCTATCAGTTTGATAGCTCTCGGTGGGACACTCGATGGTGGATGAAAGCT